GCAGGATAGACTTCTGATTGAAACAACTGTCAGTTCACCTTCTTCAAAGAAAACATACAACAAATAGTTATTTGCTAATGGGCACTTACTTTTGGTCATAGGTAGAACAACCTTGGCTGTTTTTACAAAGGAACCAGAGTCTAACAAAGTAAGAACTGACTTGAGAGATAAAATTTTAGAAAGCTCATCTATATTTTCTCTGTGCTGCAAACTAAAAACAAAACAACTGTCAGTTCACCTTCTTCAAAGAAAACATACAACAAATAGTTATTTGCTAATGGGCACTTACTTTTGGTCATAGGTAGAACAACCTTGGCTGTTTTTACAAAGGAACCAGAGTCTAACAAAGTAAGAACTGACTTGAGAGATAAAATTTTAGAAAGCTCATCTATATTTTCTCTGTGCTGCAAACTAAAAACAAAGAAGAATTAAAGGCAATTGCAAAAGTTGTGCAAAAAGTTTCCTTCCTTCTAACTAGACCTGAGTCAACTAGTAGGGCCTTTAGACTTGTGACTTGGTTTTCTTTTTCCTTTTTTTAACCACAATGCACATTCTAATTTGTGTTTTAATTTGTTAAGTTAAAGAATAACTCACAAACAAATTTGATGTTTTAGGGTTTTCAAATACAAAGAATATCCACCTGCCACATAAAATTCTAAACATTGTGGGTCAAGGCCAGAAAATGCCTTGGCAAAACCCTGAAAAGTACTCTGTTTCAGATGTCATTAATGAGGCCTACTTAATATTTAAACATCTTACACATTAGAAGAGGCTTTTATCTTAATCCACGAGAAGCACTACTTGAAAGAGTAGTTACAAAATTCATTACAAAGCTCCTAATGATTTCAGGAAACGGAAGCTTAGCCTTACTTGGACTACATGTTAAGCAAGGAAGATAAATATCATCACAGAGCTGCAGTCTTTCGAAGTAGAACAAAAAGTTACGTGTGGACTGAAGACATTCATTAAGCACCATCTCTAGTTTTCAGGATAATTGTATACGACATCCATTTTCCCTCTTCAAAATGGTATGGAACTAAATGATGTTCATAATTTACATTTGGCTCTTGAATAATCAAGTATGTGATTAGGAGGAGCATTAAGCAGTACGATTACGACATGCAATGTGGCTCGCTCTAAATATTAGTACAGGCAGCATCTGGAGTAACCTTTAAACAGAGGTAACTCTGTGGGTGCTTCTGCATTACTGTTGTCACTTGGGTCAGAAGTGACCTTGTGAAGGGACCCTTTCCCCTTACTGTTCTTTGGTTCATCGATTTTGTAATTTGCACTCCAGCCTCAAATGGACATTCAGTCCACCGTGACCAGCCTAGTGCTAAGTCAAAAATTAAACAGCCCTGTAATGTGTCTTCCAATGTGGACTTTGATCACACACGACCTCTGCTGTCTCTGTTTCATTCTAGCACTACACCTTTAAGTTCAGTAATGCTCCACAGGACCAATACTGTTGGGCCACACTACTTGCAAGAGTGGACATTGCCTGCAAGAGAGACTATTTAACCCTCTCAAAATACATGAGCCTTGTCCCTATGGTTTTGATAAACAGTTTGAAAAAGCAACAGTCATAAAATGGTTGCAGCTGGAAGAGATGACTGGAGGTTACGTGGTCCATCCCCTCTTCAGGCAGGGGCATCTAGAGCCAGTTGCCCAGGACCATGGCCAGATGGCTCCCAAGTATCTCCAAAGATGGAGACTCCATCACTCTGGGCAGCCTGTGTCTAGGATTAGTGAAAAAGTGCTTCTTGATTTTTCTGATGTTCTAGTCCTATCACTGGGAACCACCAAAAAGAGACTGGTTTTGTCTGCTTTACACCCTACCTCTGTGTATTTATATACATCTTGAAAAAATCTCAAGGAAGTACATTCCATTGGCTAAGAAACTCCAAGCAAAAAAGTTTTATTTCCTAAATTCACTCTTAGAAATTTAATGATTTTCAAGGCACTGTGAGAATCTGACTATTGACTTCCACACAGTATTTTGCAAAATCAAACAAAATACAGTATTAAGAAAAATCTTAATGTGCAGCTCAGGGAGAAAATTCTATCTTGAAAGCATATTACATTTTCTAGTTAAAAATTCAGTAGAAGTAACAGTTCAAGCAAGTAAAATGACAAAATCAGGAGGAACACAGAGAACGGTGTCTTTTTTTCCTGCATACACTTCATTGAAGATGGGGTTAAGTTCTCTAAATTAATAATTCAAAGAACTCTTTATTAAAAAAAAGAGGGTGTATAACAAGCTGTTTCAAACACTCTTTTGAACCATGTATTATGAGACGAAGGCTAACGTAAATGTCCTGTGAAACACATCAATTATATTTAAAGTATACTTTTTTCCCCTACTAAAGAGCTCTAGAGGTTATAAATGATAAGAAATAGTAATAATCTAAAAGGAAATACAAACATGCTTGCAGTAGATCGACTGGTGTTTAGGGAAAAAGCACTTACGAAGGAATGGGCCTCCAAGTTCAAATCCTTCAGGCAAAACAGCCCAAAGGGTCAACAAGAAAAGAAAAGCAATGATGTTCTTTGTCTTTTGATTTGAATTCTCAGTAGGTTTGTCTGAGAGAACAACTAAGAGAAAAAATTCCACCCTTTTATAAATCACACACCCCACTTAGTGTTTTAATGCTTTCTTACACAAGAACTATCATTTTATTGGCAGGTTATTAGATTTTGGACCAGTGTCATTTGACTAGGATGATATTAATAATAATGTGGTTTATGTGGTGCAGGGTCAGATCAGTAAAGTGCTGTTAACAGATGACAGGTTTGATTACCGTTGGCTTTAGGCAAGACATATGGATCCCTTAGGAACAGCAGCACAGGCTGGTGGGACAGTTTGCTGGAAAGGTCAAGAACAGGGATGTCAGTATCAAGGGACAGCAAACAGAATATTCTACAAACTAGCTTTTATAAAGTGAGGTGGTCAAGCTGTGGGCAGGCTCCATATCCTGAAAGCAACGCTTGCGGCTCCTCAGCAACACAGTGAAACCTTCAATGTGAAGTTGGAAGTGAAGGAGCTGCATCCAGGAAGTGTGGCTTGCAGCTGGCTCTGAGACCTCCTGATCCTGCTCTGCTCCCTTAGCCTGCTACAAGATCATCTACCACCAGCTGCCACATCTATGGGCTCTTAAGGCCACCAAAGAGATTCAAAATGTCACCACGTTCCTGCAGCCCCCAAAGTGGTTGCTGTAGCCCTCACCCATGGAGAAAAATCCCTTGGAAGCCCCACACAGGGCTGTCTCCCACTTTGGTCACAGTACAGACAGCCTGCCCCAGCCAGCACCGGCTTTTTCCCCTCATACATATGTGTTCCAAGTAGTGCAACCAGATACATAAAAAGCTCTATCAAATGCATAGGGGAGAACCCAAACCTTTAAATTTCTTCTGCTAAAATACATATATTTCAGACCTAGCAGTATTCTATTACTTTTGTATGGAATTTCTAAATGCTAGCATAAGGACACTCAATTCACAGTACCAATGGACAGGTATAGCTGAGCTGATGAAACTAGCTGTAATATTTAATAAACACATCTAATTTTAATGCTAAACTACTGCTAATTTGTCAACTCCAAGGAACAAATACAGTAAATAACAATAATTTCAAGTAGTTTATTAATCAGGTGTCCTAGAAAGAACAGGAATTAAGCTCACCTTGATTCTTCAGATTCTGTTTCATCAAAAGAGCTGCAAGTAAAGTGAGAGGAAACTTTGGTTACAACAAAATTAATTTTCCAATTAAAAAACCCAAAATCCTTTAAGAACCATCAAAGGGAGCAATCTTTTTCTGGTCTGTGGCAGCATAATATAGTTTAATGAAATGAATGTGGGAGATTGTATCATTTTACAACCACCACTAAGTTGGAAATGACAGCATCCACTTTACTGTAACAGATTCACAAGCATTTCCATCTACCTATCCATGAAGTGTTAGGGTGGTGTCCCACTAAGGATACTGGCTGATGTCATTAACTGCAAGTGAAAATTACAGATCTGTTGGCTTCTGAATCACTCTGGACACTGCCCTGGGCCATAGATACCTCCAAATGCAAGAGGGCCTCAAAATTATCTCAATATTTTTCAGGTTGCCTTTTTGCCACTGCAGAAGCAAATGGCATCCCTCAAAGTGGAAAAGGGCCATGTGGCTTTCTGGTGGGGAAGTTCTGGTAACACTTCTGAACTATCAACCATGTCAGCATGCATAGCAAAAGAAATTCTCCCTACAAAGCTCAAAGCTGCAGATGGCAACAGAGCTTCCAGTTATGCGATTTTGGCTATTTCTGTAGTCATTACACTATACTTAAATTTCCTTCTGCCACTTTGATTAAGAATCCTTTCAAGGGGAAGCACAATTGGCTCACTGGAGTAGATGCCATCAGAAAGGTGAAAGACCTTATTTTTGAACACATAGAGGGAGATCCTAAAATGATCATAGAATTAATTTCTATTTTGTGCAGATACAACCACAGTAAAACACATGCAAAGCCTTTATACACAATTTCAGTGTTTATGAATATCTTACATTTCAGTAGATACTTCAAGATCTATGAGAGAATCGTATTTTTCTCATCTAAACTCTCCTTTGCTTTCCAAGAACATTACATTAAACTTCAATTCGGTCTCTGAACAGGCTGGATTTATTTTACGACCTTTTGGGGATATATAAACATACTTAACATGAACCTAATGCCCATTTATTTTACAGTGTTAGAGTTGGCAGCAAGACCATTTTAAGTCAATAGAATTGCATCAGCACCAAGGGGATATGGGCCTTTTGGCCTCCATGTATTTTTCAGCAAATGAGAGCTTACCCACAGCTTTCTGCTTTTGGCAAGGTTGGTACATGGCGAACGTTCAGAAAATCAAGAAATATTTTAGGGAGCTCTTCGTTTTCTAAAATGACTGTCTGCAAAAAAAAAAAAAAGAAGGCACAAAAGAAACCCATATTTTAGAAGGATTTTAGATATTTCACACTTCTATTTGAGCTACCAAAACGTTTTCCTCTTGCAACAGTTTTCAATTCTCTGTTTTTTACACCTATTTTGGAATGCTTCATTTCAATAGGAAAACCACAGTTCTTGATGAATCGCTTAAAAATACATTCAGCTTATGCTACTACATTCTTTTTCACCTGCCATCACTGGTGCCAAGTTAGATGCTTCTCAAACAGAGATGTCTGATTCTGGAACTAAGTTACTGGCACACTCATTTATGAATAAAATTCTGTTTATTTAAAATACAAAATATAGCAGCCTCAGCTCAGTGCTTTCATGTTCACCTCACAGAAGTCTCCCATCTGGCATATAAGTGAAAAAAGGAAGTGTCCACTTTGTGCAGTTTTATTAATGCATGCCTTGGTAAATCATAACAAGGGAAACTCTTTGCTTGGCTTGACAGGTCAGTTTACAACATACTCCTTGTGTCTGCACCAATGGCCCCTAACGACAAAGCTCCGACCAAGGAGCTGCTGGCTAGACCTGCTACATTTTTCCACATCAATGACATAATGGCCACAAAAAGGCCAGACTCCATCCTCTGTTTTTCTATTGATGAGATGATTTACAATGTTCGCTAAATTAATTACAAGTACACTTAAAAATATGTACCAAATAAATGAGATGCTAAGGTGCATGTTCATCATGAAAGAATGACTTCTAAGGGAAACAACAGATCTCTGGCAGTTTCACAGAAGCAGACCAAAAATAATTATTGATCTTTAATTTTCAAAAGGCAAACAAAACAGTTCATAAATTCAACCAATGTCTCACCTGAAAGATTAAGCCCCTACGTCTTTACTATTCATTCTGCCATACATTCTGATAACATGTACTTCACAAGCAAATGAAAGCCACAAGCTCTTCCCTAAAGAGCTTTCCTTCATACAGGCCTGATCCAAAATGCATGTATGTGTGGAAGAAACTTCACTGGATTTATAAATGAATCAACTTGTACAAGGAAAGCTATCCACATTCATCCTTTTTCATTTTCACACCCTATGTTAGAGGAAACAAACATAGAGAAGAACCAAGTCTGGTGATGGGAAGAAACATTACTTGGCTTACATTCAGGAGGTCACTTACTCCTGCATGTGTATTCCTTTATATTACAATATCACAAGGGAGACACAATGGTATGTAGAGGACAACAGGATCAAAAAAAAAAAAAAAGGTTGGAAGACACATGTAGAGGTTATCTTGATTTTACTGCGGGTTTTATAGCAAATCATTTGGTTATTTGTGTAAGGAAAACCTGCTTAGTATTATATTACATTAGATGTGAATGGACTTAAAGAGAGAAAGACATTTGAAAACAAAGATGTTTGAGAACTGGTTCTTTTTTCATGTTACATATGCAAATCTGAATTCAGAGTCTACACTTCCTCAACAGCTGAGGCCATCGCTAACACATCGAAAAAAGGACAGGGAAAAATGCTGCTTTCGAACTTTTATGTTCTAGATTTTAAGGGATATAACAAACAAGGAGGTCTGAGATGCTGCCAAGTGTTAAGCCTTTCAGTTCACCTCTATATGAAGATGCTGCATTAAAAAATGCCACTTCGTTTGCATTCTGCAAAATCAGCACTCTGCTGCTGCAGAATTTATCCTGTTCTGCATTCAGGTTATGCACAAAAGGAGGGGTAGAGGTGGATGCATATTCAGAGGGTGTGTGAACCGCATAATAATGCATATCACTGGCTCAAATAAAACCATCTGACTAATTATATGCAATGAAGAACCACAAAAAGTTATATAAAGATGTTTAAGGGCATCCAATGCTTATATGCAACCTCATACTTAGACCTCCTGACAGATTTTCAGAGAGTTGAGCTGCCTGCTGAGGTTGCTGAACGGAACAGGGAAGAAGAGAAGGATACAGCATTGTATAAAAGGAAAACTCCCGACAGCTCTTACAAACCTATTTACTTTTACTTCCATTCACTCCAGATTAATACCTATTTTTTTCTTTTTTTTTTTTTTTTCACCACATGCATGAAATCAACCAAAGCCTTGCTAACCCCAGCCCAACCAAATACATTTCCCCAAAAGATGTAAGCAAATAGCATCTATTTTAGTGTGTTAAGCCATGCAGTTTGTTAACTGTCAATTAACCCTGCTTTGGTGATCACTAAACTTGAGAACATAGAATATGCAGAGAAGCTAAGGCAATTTTACACTGTACTGGATTTGGATGCTGCCTCTGTTGATTAGGAATTCTGTCATTTCCAGAATTATATGAAAGGAGGAATGACTGCACTGAACAAATAAGGATTTTCCAACTATGTAATGCAATTTGATGTGCATTTTAAGCATCAAAAAATGAAAAAAAGAAGGTGCAAGTTAATGTTACTAATAAGGGGGCAAATTATCTTCTGGCTTGACTTCATTGGCTTTGATAGGTGCAGCACATAGTCTTGCCATTCAAAATACGTGGAGGAAACTAAAGGCAAAGAGAAAAAAACCCTGGGAACAACAACAAAAAACCCAGCCGCAGTGGATTAGGTGTGTCAGTCTAGATAGATTTCCACTTCTGGCACAGGCCCAAAGCAAATGTCTAGAAAAAGATGCAAGCGTTCGCAACTTCCTATTTAAGTTTTTCAAAAAATACTCTTAAATCAGAAGTAAATGTTATCTCAATTGGCTTAATTTACCTGGAACAACCTATAATACAACAGATCTTTTATTTCTTTCTGACAACTGGTAGGAAATGCATATTTTGCAAATTCGATGCTCTTTAAATGACAGCTGAGAAGAAAAGGATCCATCAGGTAAAGTCTCTCAACCACTATCTATAATTTGTGATGTAAAATGCTCGACTCTAGCATTTGTTCAAGCAGATACATGGTATTGCCTTGTGAGCGTGACTATCTCCTTGTTTGTGCTGCCATCAGAAATGTCAATGTTTTCAAAGAAATAAAAGCTCACAATTAGTTTGTCTGTAATGTGAATTTCTATTAGATCCAAATTCTATCAAGATCATAGCAAGGAGTTTCAAATACGGCTCTCAGGGTGCTAAGTAGACTAATTTAAGAAAAAATCCAGCATGTGTATTTCCTTCCTGAAATAAAAAAAAACCCCAAACTAAAACACGTAACACAAGCTCTAGCAAGTGATTTGGGAAGTGACTCCAGAAATACATTTTTCAACTCATTGATTTCAGCTGAACTAGGAGAATAAGTGCCATATTTTCTTAGAAAATTGTAAAGGGTGTTTATCTGTTTCTGTCACACTTTAATGAACTACACTGTGCTTCAGGAAAAAACCCACAACACGACACAAGGGAAAGCCTGATGTTTACATCAGCAGAAATGTCTTTTTCATCGAAAGGGTGCAATTATTATTATTATGTAGCACAAATCACAAAACCCCCAATTTTTCTACCTTATCAGTTTCATAAAATCATGTTCCCTAAGGATATCATTGATTAGTTGCACACGTTCTTTCAGTGACATCTGAAATACTTAATTGTCGGTTATCTTTTCTCCTTCAGTAAGTAAAACATAGTCACAAAATTGCAAAGGGACTTGTTCTGCCTTAACCTTAGCTAGATGCCATCATGCAGTGGAAAACAGTGCTAAAATATCACAGGATAATGCTCTCCAACAAGGGAGACATATAAACAGCATAATGATTTCCCACGAGTTTCCTTTTTAGAAAATTGTCACTAAAGCCAGGGTAAATGGTGACATATCTTCACAGAGGACACTGTGAAATCGAACACTGGCATTCTAGTTAGGCCCAAACCTACTCATCAGCCAATTATAACAGTAACTGAACATCTTGCTGAAAACCTGAACAAGACCACTTTGCTAACCTTTGGAGATCATGCCACAGGAATGCATCATTTTCACATAGTTTTATTATTGTTGTTTTTTTAATAAAAAGAAAGATTTAAAAACCGATTTCTTACAATCATCTATTCTACTTTCTCAAGGTTGCTGGAACAGCTGTTGGAAAGGGAGAAATGAGAGTGGGGAGCTGAGTTTCAGGGTTCTTAAGAGTCCTTACAGACTTTCCCATTCAATCGGGTTTAGTTTGAAATGCTGTACTGTTAGGGTGAAAAAGTTCATGACAGTTTTTTCTCTCTTCACAGGGAAAGATGCTTTGCAATACCTAATTCAGTGGTGCAGCTAAAATGGGGGAGAAGAAAATCAATACATTCCACCTACAGTAAGTAGGCTGGCATGTCAGTCTCCACTGGGAGCAAAACCCACATCTTTTAGAACATTTTAGAGTCTATATTCTTCTATTAACCTCCTTTTCCTGAACTGCTTTACACAGTTCCATGAAATGATAAAAAGGTTATCAAAAGAACACATTAACTAAAAACCAAGTAGACAAAGGAACCAGACTTCTAAGAGCAAGCTTTCCTTTTTTTGTAAAGTAGTAGCAGAAGCAATCATGTTTTATATTACCCATTGTGAAGAACTATGAAGAAACTCACTCTCTTCTTCAGTGAAGATGTTGTAATAGTTATCAACAAGAACTATTTCTAAATAAGCTGCTGCCTAAGTTGCCATAGTAAGAACTTTCCGCTTTTCGTTACTATCAAAACCAGTCACATATGTAAGAAAAGGAGGAGATTATCAAACATACTTAAAATTCTGTGTAGAGAGACAAGAAGCATGCAAACACACATGCAACAACACAGATATGATGCTCCATATGAAGCTCCAGCTGGCTAACACTCCCATGCTGCGTTTTAAGGGGAAGCTTGAAAAGGAACAAATACTGACCGTAGGTATTATAAGCCAAAATACTTCCAATGAAGATCCAGAAGTTACTGTCTCAAAGTTAATGTAAAGTCACGAAAGTTGAAAAAAAAAAAAAAGACAGAGAGGGAATTGCACCTCTGAACTTAAAGACTGGAGAATAATACAAAAATTCCTGCATCAACTTTCAGATCAATTTGTTGTACTTCCAGCAAGCTTAAAACTCAACAGATACC